AATAAATGAAAATTACAAATAATCAAAAATCAATATAAAAATTATATGTAAAAAATTATAGATATATATTTTTAGGAAATTTATTTTAAACAAAATAACTCAAATATATCAGAAAAATATACTGGTAGATATAAAAAAATGAATAGTGAAATGTTTTTGTAAAATACAATATACATTATTTTAAATGTTTTTCCATTGTTTTGATGGTACATTAAAACATAAGCATACATATTAACACTGAAGTATAAATAACTCAAATATTTATATATATATATATATATAGGCTATATATATATGTAAAAAAAACTAAATCACCAAAATACATCAGGAAAAGATACAACGATACTATATGTATATGTGTGTGTGTGTGTGTGTGTGTGTGTGTGTGTGTGAGTGTGTGTGTGTGTGTATCCATTGTTTTGATGGTGCATTTACACATAAGCTGAAGTAAATTTTGAAAGATTTTCTATTTAAAAATTACTTTTATTTCAATCTAATTTGATCATATTTACAATACGTTTACAAAAAGTTTCAAATGCATTTTGGCCCCCCCAAAAATTGTTTTTTTTAACCATGTCGAAACGGACCTTCCTAAAATCCATTCTCAAATGTTCAGTCGTAATTCTAAAGTGGTGCATCTATTATTCTGCATTGGAATACCCCCTGTAATAAAGTCATCCATTCATGACGGCAGATTACGGGTTATTATCTTCATTAAAGCAGGACAAATTCGCAGCTCCTGTGCTGACAATGATTAGGCGGAGAGGAAGAGCCGTTTCGCAGTTAATCTGACACTAACCTCTGGCTGACACCTGCAGCTTGATCCGCTGCCAAAAGGAGGAGTTAGCGGCTAGTTACGTAGCTGCCATGGAATGGGAACGCACAATGGCTTAGCTTGTGTTAGCATGAGGCTTCACCTACAACATGAAGAGAAAATAAAAGAGAGAAAGCAGAATAGCTGTAGTTTGACACGCTTCTGATTGAAAGCACAATGACAAAAACCTGTTGCACCACACGCTCCTACTCTCAGTGAGATAATGCAATCATCACCTGTCACTTCTGTGGAAAGTTAAAACCAGGTATGAAAACTAATTTGACGTGCTTTCTATGTTTGATCCAGGACTCTGGCAAGGCTGTGTCTCTGGGCTTGTGGATGGAGGAGATGATCTTCAACTTGGCTGATTCACGTCTGTTTTTCAATGACCTGGAGGTGAGCAAAACCTCAGAATCAACTAAATCACTTAGGATTTAATGTCAAACACACTTTTTTTGGGCTTCAGCATTAGATGCATATTTAAATAATCACACAAAAATGGTGCCAATTATAAAAATACAGATACATTTAAGTTTTATAATTTAAGAAGAAAGAGCGGAAAGTGATATGTATGGAAGTTTGTTTCCACATGGGATAAAAATTAAATAATTCTCAGAAAAAAAGTCAAGATATAAACTCAATTGCAACATTCAAATATAAGGTAACTAAAATAAAAAGTCGTAATTGTGAGATAAAATCTTGCAATTAACTTTTTATTTTTTTATTCAACGGCATTTAAAAACGGAATTGAACTCAGGAAACTTTTTCTCAGAATTGCAATTTACAACTCTTTTTTTAATAACTCGCAGTTATTAAAACTCACAATTCTGAGGGGGGAAAAAAGAAAAAAGTTGGGGGAAAAGTCAAAATTGTGATAAAAATGTATAACTTTATTAGCAATTCTGAGAAAAAGATCTGAATTGTGAGATATAAACGTGCATTTACCTTTTTACTTTATCTCTTCTCTTTGGCAGAAAAAACTTCTATAGATATAAGACACGAACGTTGATGGTCAATTCGTAAATAAAAAATATTTTACGCAGAATGTTGTGATTGGCCAATCAGAATCAAGTATTCCAGAGCGCCACATAACAAACTTCTCTTATTGGTAGGAATCTGCTCCTCTTAGATTCTCCAGTAGAACACCGGTCAATCATAAAGCTCTACGTATTCCCTGCACCTCATGTCTTCATTTGTTAATTATTTTTGCTAATTTGATGCCATTATGACAGCAGTCGTCTCTCTTGAATTATACATGTTCTACCGTATTTAAATTAGTTCCTGCTGGGGTTTTTTTTTTTTTTTTCCCCAGAACTCCATGTGATGACACTTGCATGTAATATTCTTCACATTAAACCACCCCGACAAAAATATGAGGAACAAATCATGTGTCCTCATGTTTTTGTGACAGCTGCAGAAACTGGCCGTGCTGCTTGTCACAAATATGCAAAGAAACAGCTAAATAATTCATCAAAAAGACTTAAAAATATGTACACTGCCATTCAAAAGGTTTTCAGGCATTTTTTAAAAAGAATTTAATAATTTAATTCAGCAAGAAATCAGCATTAAATTGATCAGAAGTGACACTAAAGATATTTATAATGTTTCAAACGATTTTTATTTTAAATAAATGCTGCTCTTTTGAACTTGAAATTCATCAAAGAATCCTGCAAATAAAAATGTCTCACGGTTTCCACAAAAATATTCTGCAGCACAACTGTTTTCGACATGGATAATACTAATAAATGTTTCTCGAGCAGCAAATCAGCATATCAGAATTATTTCTGAAGATCATGTGACATTGAAGACTGGAGTAATGATGCTGAAAATTCAGCTTTGATCACAGAAATAAATTACATTTTAACATATATTCCTATAGAAATGGTTATTTTAAACTGTAATAATATATCACTGTTTTTGCAGTATCAAATAAATGCAGCCTTGGTGAGCAGAAGAGACTTCTTTCAAAAACATTAAAAAGCTTGCAAACTCCAAACTTTTGAACAGTTGTGTATATAAGGCAAAATGCATATTTACGGGTGGGTGGTACGAAATATCGATTAGTTATTTGAATTCAGTACTGTTTATGCATTAAAGTGTCTGTTCAACAGGCCATGACCTGACAGTATATGTGTGAAAGACCTCGGTTTGCCCTCTGCATGAAGAAAGGAGGGATTAGATTCTCTAAAAGCTTTCGAGGAGGTGGAGCAGAAACCCTGACAACACCTGAGGTCTTAATTAGGGGTGTGTGGCTGCCACTGAAAAGAAAATTTGTCCCGGGGAGGAACAACAGCCCAGGGGTGGAGGGCGCACACACCATTATTTCTTGAGCAGGTTTTAATGACGGCCCACTCTTGTTCTGTTTTCCCTGTAATTGCCCTCAAATAGACCAAGACATCATTGAACATTCAAACACTGAGAGTTCAGTCTATTCAAACATGTCAGCTGGGGAACAGAAAGCTGCCGCGGGCAAAATAACTGCACAGAAATACATGTGATCAATGGCCTAACTTGCTCATTTAATGCTATAATTAATCAGAAAAAAATGAAATTAATGTCTGGTAGAGAGTAGCAGAATAGATCAAGAGTGAGAAGCAAAATATTGGTAAATTTGTGACCACCTCTGTCAATAATTAAAAGTAAAAAAAAAAAAAAAAACTAAAAGCAGTGGAATTATTTTATTATATTATTGGATTTTTTTAAATCATTGATTTTTTACTAGAACTATTCTAAGAAAATTTAAATAAATGTTTGGTAGAGAACGTATCTGAGTAGCAGAAACGTTATAATGAAATTGGTGATTGAAATTAAATTAATATTTTTATTCAGCAAAAGACACATTTAAATAAATATTCTTTTAAATTTTATTCACCAAAAATCCTGAAACACAGTGAAAGCCTATTTCTATTTTTTTTTTAAAACACACACACATAAAAGCAGTGTATATTATTTAGTAAATACATATATATACATATACATATATATATATATGTATTATTGATTTAATTTAATTGCAATTGTTTTAAATCTTTCATTGATTTTTACTAGAAACATCATGTTTTATGAGAAAAATTTAATTATTTTTTGGTAGAGTTGGCTAGAAAAGGTAACTGAGTAGCAAAATAGTTACAACGAAACTCGTGATTGAAAAGGTTTTTTTTATTTTTTTGTTTTTAAATAAATAATATTTTCATTCAGCAAGGACACGTTAAATTGATACCAAAGATATTGGTTTAAAAAAATTATATTTTAAATAAATGCTGTTCTTTTGAACTTTATTAATCAAAAATCCTAAAAAAACAAAACAAAACAAAAGTGTATATTGTTTAGTAACTATATATAAATTTAGTAAAATATACATTTATCTCTTTATTGATTTAGTTGTATTATATTATTGCAATTGTTTTATATCTTTCATTGATTCATGAACTTTATTCATTAAAAATCCTGGAAAAAAAAATCACTGTTAAAGTGTACTTTTATTATAAAAAAAAAAAAAAGAGAAAATCTAGTTATAATTACAGTAATTTAAGAACAATAGAAGTCAGTGGGAGGTCGGCAACTTGATATCATTAAGATAAACATGACGTGTTAAGTCATATCTGTGAAAATATGAAAAACAACAAGAGAGCATTAACGTGTTTTGTCAGTGCTGAAGGCCGAGTAATTGTTTTGTGAATTTGAATCCAAATTTTTATCAAATTTACATGTGTTGCTAAAATAGCAAATAGAAGCACGCAAGATAATGAGCTGGAGTAAAGAGCAGATGTTCAGCTTATGCATCGCACACCGCAATTAGTGTATATTGGCAGTCGTACGCGCAAACCCAGCCAAGACAAAAGCGTTAATTAACGTCCAATATCGGGTTTAGATGGTGTTCTGTCTGCCTTCTTTCTGATATTTTACCCTCCGGCGTTGAAGGCGCCTTCATGTCTTGGGTCACAGTGGCCTGGTTATGCTTTTTTGTTGTTCGTCTTTTTTAATATTTCACTCTTGCTCTCACCATCGTTCCCCGAGGCTCGGCGGCGGGTGAACCTGTCTATACACAGTACATCACTTTACACGGCTGTAACGTATATCCGCCTCACGCGTATCTGCTTTCCTTTCATTTCCCAGGAATGTGACCAAGTTCATATCGATGATGTGGCCTCGGATGACAATGGACAGGACTTGAGGTAGAGTATGACTTTCCTTCATCTAGCACAGCGAGCAACAATATTGAGCTATTGGCTCTTTCGGCCCTGCATGTGGGATTTTAGAAAATGAAGACAGAAAAGTGAAAACAAATTCACAATGAGGGACAGTCGTAATTTGTGACGTTCTCATATATTAAATATGTAATCGGTAAAAATGTAAAAAAAAATTTTTTTTTAAAAATCACATTTTTATTTTGGATCTTCAGTTCTTTGAAATTAAGTAAAAATAAATGAAGGCATGGTAAAAAGTTTACAATGGACTTTTAATGTGACCTTCATATTAAAAAAAAATGTTGATTTATTTTTCTTGTTTTAATTAAAATAAATAAATTTAAATAAAATAAAATAAACACCAGAACATAAAAGTGCCTGTAGTTCAAGAAATTATTATTAAATATGATTTAATATTAAATTACTGAGAATAAACCAAATTATTTATTGTACATCATGTTAGAACATTTTTTGCTGTTTTTGTTTTAAATAAAATAAATTAAAGTGCCTGTAGTTGAAGAATTATTATTAAATATGTTTTAATATTACATTATTTAGAATAAACCAAATTATTTATTGTACATCATATTATTGTTGTGGTTATATTATAAAAGCACTGGTTTTAAGTGGGTTTTTTACTTATGCCACTTTGTTTTGAGCCAAACAACTTTGTAAAATCACTGTAATTCATGGCCAGTTGGTGATGTTTTTTATTGTTATTTTTGCATTCTCAAGAATATGTTTCATGCATTAAACTTCAGTTTGATGCTCAGTTGAATCTTGAATGGGTTTTGTGACTGGTGATCATTGCTGTTATGTTGTGTAGGTTTGCTGGGCAGTCCGAAGCGGGAAGAGTGGCTTCAGCTGAGGCGGGAGATGGAGGTTTTGACGGATCTGTGGCTGACGCAGGCACTCAAAGCTCTCGCTCTCATCAACTCCAGGTGAGCACAGCACACATACGACAATACAGACGCTCGTTACAGGAATATTCCAGCTTAAATAAACGAGACGCGTGAGTGTCGTAGAGTTCAAGAGCAGAAGCTACTTTCTGTGGTAACCGACAGTGCGCCACAGATACGGAATCTGGACTATTCCTTTAACAATAGACTTATTTTACAGCAAGTTACAGCAGTTTTGTGTCACTCAAACATAATGGGTTTTGGCAAGCAAAGCACACTGTCAGCATAAGAGACTGATGACACTGACAGATGATGATTAATAGCACTTGATTTGCCAAGAGATTTCTGTCTCATGACTTCTATTTAACACAAAAGCGAGGTTTAGCAGAACATCTGAGCTGCTTTTCTCCATACAGTGGAATCAACATAGTGACCAGAGCCTGTCAAGATCCCAAGTTTATCTCTCGCATTTTAGATCTTGCAATTATGAGTTATATTTTGGAATTATGAGTTTATATCTCACAATTATGAGTTTATATTTCACAATTGACTATTTCACAATACTTTATCTCGCAATTAAGAGTCTTTTTTGCAATTATGATTCTATCTCACAATTGTGAGTTTATTTTTAGCAGTTCTGAGTTTATATCTTACAAATGAGTTTTTTGCAATTATGACTTTATATTTCCTGAATGAGTTTATATCTCGCAATTCTGACTCTTTTTCGCAATTCTGAGTTAATATCTCGCAAATGAGTTTATATTTTACAATTAAGAGTCTTTTTTGCAATTATGATTCTATATCTCACAATTCTGAGTTTATTTTTCGCAGTTCTGCGTTTATATTTGAGTTTATATCTTGCAAATATTTCACAATTCTGAGTTTATTTCACAACAGTTTATATCTTGCAATTAAGACTTTTTTTGCAATTATGATTCTATATCTCACAGTTATGAGTTTGTATCTCACAATTCTGAAAGTAAGTCAGAAAACTGAGACGCAGTTGCTTTTTTGTTAATCCATGACAGAAATAATCATCCATAAGAAATAGATGCGAATGTAAGCCTTTATTCACTAAAATCTTCCTATCCATCAAAACTCTAAATCTCTAGAGAAACTCTGCAAAACTAAATCCAGACCAGAGTTTTATTTACGACTGCAGCACTATTCCTTTAAGAATGGTTTTCGTGAACGAGTTACTTACATATTGTTCCCTTGGACAGAGCGAACTGTGTGAACGTGATGGTCACCACCACGCAGCTGATTCCAGCGCTCTCTAAAGTGCTTCTCTACGGTCTTGGAGGAGCTTTTCCCATCGAGAACATCTACAGCGCCACCAAAACAGGTTCGCAGCCTCTTCGTACGCTGCATTTCAGCCAGTTTTCCAGATCTAGCAACTGAACTGTTAACGTTGTGTTCTAGGTAAAGAAAGCTGCTTTGAGCGCGTGACTCAGAGGTTCGGCCGGAGGGCCGTGTATGTGGTCGTAGGGGATGGTGTGGAGGAGGAGACGGTCGCCAAAGCATTTAATATTATTCAAAATTATTGCTATTTGTATAATAAATTTTAAAATACTTTTAAAATATTAAACGTGATATATTTATATTCAGTTACATGTTATAATCCTAGTTTTATTTTATAATCAGTTTTATTAGAGTTAGCATTTATATTATTAAAAATATAAAATGTTATAATTCAGTAGATTTTAATATTATTCAATATTATATATTTTAAATATTTTTAAAAATCAGCGCTCTCTAAAGTGCTTCTCTACGGTCTTGGAGGAGCTTTTCCCATCGAGAACATCTACAGCGCCACCAAAACAGGTTCGCAGCCTCTTCGTACGCTGCATTTCAGCCAGTTTTCCAGATCTAGCAACTGAACTGTTAACGTTGTGTTCTAGGTAAAGAAAGCTGCTTTGAGCGCGTGACTCAGAGGTTCGGCCGGAGAGCCGTGTATGTGGTCGTAGGGGATGGTGTGGAGGAGGAGACGGTCGCCAAGAAGGTATAAAGGAATAATGCCACACTGCTGAATTAGTACTGTAATGCATTATGGTATTAAAAATAGATTTATTATTACTGGTATTGTTATGGTTCCATGTCAAGAGAAACATGGTATTACTGTACCATGGCATCTTTCTATTAGCAAAAGGTTAAATGAATCCAAACTGTTTTGGGAAAGAAAAAAAATATATATACTGGAATTTAATGTATTTTTTTAATTATATATATATATATATATTAAGTTATAATTATTTTATCTTAAAAATAATCTTTTTTTTAGAATTATCATTTATATTACAAATTATATTCACGTGTTTTATATTAAAATGCATTTAAACAAACAAAATAATGTATTAAAGTCCCTATTCTTTTCCAAATCTATCCAAATCATTATTCTCAAAACACTTTTCAGACGGTTAAAAAAAATTATTTTAAAAGGGGGATAAACCTTAACATCCATATATGTAAACATAAATATATGATAAATATATGACCTATTAAATGATTTGACTTTTTCTGTCATTTCATGACTAACAATCCGTAATATCATCACCCATGACAAATAAATGGTACTTTGTGATGTCCCGCAGAAGAACATGCCGTTCTGGAGAGTGACGAGCAGGCCGGATCTGGAGGCGTTGAGTCATGCACTTGAGCTGGATTACCTCTAGAGGGCAGCATCTGCTCGTCTGCCAAGAACTGCAGGACCAATCAGCAGGGAGCAGCAATCTTACTGGGAAAGTTTGCTTTAAATCAGTCCAAGAAAAACACTTTTTTTTTTCTCTTTCTCGCTCTCCACCTGAGAGGCTCGGCTCTTTCATCCACTCGCTTTTCTTTACAACAGCACTGCACTGAAAACAAAGACCCATCAGCGACTGATTCAGAAAGCCTGTGTCCGGATAACATCCTATCATACTTCTCATACTATTTCTGCAGTACGCAGCATATATACTGTGCACAGTATGTGTATTTTATGTTTGTGCAGAAACCCGGATGACAATGGAGCACAATGCATGCATATCCCGGAATGCAATGCACTTGACTTGAGTTTTTACATCTCATCTCTTTGGACTGCCAAAAAATGAAAACAGTTCCCACAAAAACTGGATTAAAAATGCAAAATAACTATTTTTATTTCCGAGATGATTATTAGAGGTCATGTGACATCAATGCAGCAAACTACTGTTTGAAATGTTTATCATAATGCATAATGTGTACTATTTTTATATTAAGCAGTATGCGGTGTAAACTGTGCTGTAATGTTTTGTTAGTATTGCTTTCTGAACATAGCCGTTCTGAAACAACCCATTTTACAGATAAAAGGGGTGTCAAAATAGAAGATTTTAGCATAAAAAAAAAATAAGATTTACATTTCGTAAAGCATGAAATCATATGCATTTCCATGAAAAAAAGACCAAATTCATAAGCGAAGAAAAAAAAAAACGATTTGATAGAATTTTATGTAATCAAAACTGATTTTTTTCTTGCAATATCATATTAAATTGATTGAATATTGCACCACACACAAAAAAAGGAATCATTAAATAAATATTAACTGAATTAAAATGAATTGAGACAAAATTAAGATATGTGCTGTTGTACTAAAACTGCAGAAAAACTAACCCCTCACGTTTTATACGAGTACAAAGTACTGCAAATCCACTTGTTTGAATGGAAAACCCATGAAACCATGAACTAACCATGAAATCTGCCAAAATATTGTAGCGGATGATACTGCTACTGTTACGAAAAGAAAAGACATGATTAACTTATGAATGTCAGTGTCCTGTGAGTTTCTTTTCTTCCTGTGTCTCTGACGTGTGCCTGGATCTTCATGTGGTTTGTTACTGATGTATATTTCTTTCTTTGCTGAAGTTGATATACTGTATACTGTATGTGTCGCTCTGACCTGCATGTGTTCTTCACAACTGCTTCTGTTCGCTATGATTTGTATATAAGGTTTTATTGTTGATTACTTCTGGGCTTATTATAATAGAATAAAGATAAATTTATTTCATTCACGAGTTTCCTTCTTATTATTCATTTATTTTACATTAAGTAATGTGAATTTAGAGTGTAATGCGCTTAACTTTCATCATGTTGCAAAGCAAAAAATCTTGATCCTAAGAAAAATAGGCTTAATTTCTTCCTTCAAAATTTGCAATGTTTCTCTTTTTATTGTGTGGTTAAATATGCTACAGACAATATAACTTTTCCAATATCTGTTGTTTCTCTGTCTCCAAGTACACTTTTTTTTTTTCCATAGTATAACTACATTTCCCTTTCATGGGAACTTCGAACTGCGTCCTCTAGGGGTCGCTATGGGGGAACGCCTCGTCGTGACCCGTGTCTGAAGCATACATTGAAAAAACACCAACTGGTTGGCCGGCGACAGCCATGACATCACTACCGGTGCGACTATAGTATAAATAGGCGCCGGGAGCACACATCATTCTCTTCTTCGTCTTCATTGACTGTTCTGTTTGAAGCGTGCATTTCCAAGGAAAAAGTAAGAGCTATCTCTATTCATTATGGCGAGCACTAGCAGAGCATTTAGAAGGTGTGTGCATCCGTGTCATCGCTATTTGACACCAGATGACACACACAATCTATGTGTTGTTTGTTTGGGCGAAGAGCACGCACGCGATGCCTCCGAGGGGGCAATCGGCGTGCACTGCGAGCGTTTTTCCAAGGAAAAAGCTCCGTTCTCGTTTGTCTCTCTTTTCAAGTAAAGAGGGGCAGCCATCTGCTCCCCGCGATCCAGGACCCGCCGCTGCTGAGGCACGGAAGGGAATGAGCTCGTGGGGATCGCAGGTGGATCTGGCCGATGAGTTTGAAGAGGGGTTTCCCTTTCGCGATCGTCGGCTGTGCACGAGAGTGAGCCGCTGGAGGATGATGTTATTTCATTAACATTGTCTGATTCAGGGGCCAGTGCTCTGCTGGGATCAGCCCAGCAAAAGCAGGAAATAGCTGAGGAGGGCAAAGAAACTGAGGCTGAGCCTTCCCAATCCTCCTGCCCTGCATATGATGAG